AGGGATGAATTTGACTCGGGGGGACGGGGACGGGTATCATAAAACCCATACCCGCCCCGCCCCGTTGCCATCCCTAACCTTGCGAGGGTCCAGAAGTTGCTGGAGATCGCCCTGCGCTCCAATGAGAACTACGCCTCCCAGGTGAACGAGCTGCAGGGGCTTGCCGCCTCGTCCCGGGGTCGGGTGGGTTTCTTGGAAGACGAGGTGACGTTTTCCCGTGGTCGAGTTCACTTCTTGGAGGATGAGGTGACCTCCATGAAGAGTGATCTAGTGGCAGCTGAGAAGCGCCTCTGTGATGAGGTCGTCCTTGGCAGTAAAGAGGAGGAGGTCGCCTCTTTGAGAGTGGAGCTGGCGAAGCAGGAGGCGGAGAGGCCGGCGTTGGAGAAGAAGCTTGAGGAAACCGAACGATCTATTGTAGTTGAGCATAAAAGAGGTTTCCTCAAGGCAGCTCACCAGGCCAGGCTCCTCGCGCCGGGGTTTGACCTCTCTGCCATGCACGTGGAGAAGGTCGTCCGCTTCGGGAAGCTTGTAAAGGAAGATGACGTCGAGGACAGCTCCAGCGAGAATGCCTCTGCATAGGCCAATTTTGTAATAACCTAATTTAATTTTCTCTGCTTTATTTTTCTTCTTTGAATTCAAGTGTGGAACTTTGAAAACATTGCTGTATATATGTGTATTTTTTTGTCTATTCGCCGTCGCGCTTTTCTTTGCCTTTGCGTTTTGGCTTGATTTTTTGCTGTTTGCGCATTTTGAGACACACGTTCAATGTCTGTTGTGTACTTCTATCTTTTGTTTAACTCGATTTCGAGTTAACCATGCCGGGGTTCGAATTCGACCTCGGATTTTCGTTAAGTGATTCTCGTGAAGGTTCAAACTTGACCTTAAGTTAATTATACCGAGGTTCAAATTTGACCTCAGATTTTTGTTAAGTAACTCTTTGTGAAGGTTCGAACTCGACCTCGAGCTAATCATACCGAGGTTCGAACTCGACCTCAGATTTTTGTTAAGTAACTCTTTGCACTCACCTGTTGTATCTTCGGGAAGCTCGGAGTTTGCAGGCTTCTTTGTGGATTTGAGCTTCGTCTCTGAGCTCGTCGACCAAGTCGAGGTCGGTTGCTAACTCCTGAGCGTTTTGCTCGTTTTTGAAAACGGCGTTGGTGGGATGTCTCTCCGACTTCCACAGGGATCATTGCGTCAGCTCCGTAGGTCAACCTATAAGGTGTCTCTTGCGTGGTTGACTGGGGGGTGCAATGATACGCCCAGAGGATGCTTGGGAGCTCGTCAGCCCACTGTCTTTTGGCGTTCCCTAGCCGCTTCTTAACTTCCCAGAGGATGACCTTGTTGGCTGCTTTGGCTTGGCCATTGTTCTGGGGGTGTTCCACCGAGGTCAGGAGATGCTTGATACCGAGCTCGCGGAGGAAGTCCTTGAATCCCTGTGCGATGAATTGCCGGTCGTTGTCGGTAA